ACGTTTGTGCATAAAAATTTTTCTTCCCGTCAACTACAATTTCCTGTGAAAAATTGCAGACTAGTGTATGGAAAATCTAAACCAAATGACCAGAGAAATTAAGCACAGGTATGGCCTCCAAAATTTGTTTCTACAGCTCTACAATCCTTTGCTGTGAAGCTTAAGTTTACAATTCCCAGTTTTTTTTTTTCAGAACAGCCGTCTTCCGGAAAATGATTGGACGTTAGATTCCCATACAAACACTGTAATTTCTCATGCAGTTGTCTACCTGTCAAGATGGCTTCCAAACTGAGATAAGGACTATACCAAATTGCACGTTTTACACCGTTTGCCATTATTTTGTTGAATAATTTACCCTTTCACCCCTAATGGTGGCCAAATAGAATATCACAGAAAAAAATTAAATTTTTTTTTGTAAAATCCTAAGAAATTATAAGCACTATAAAAAAGATCTGCCAGACACGTTTTATTTGAATGGTAACACCACATGATTTCATCCACAGATTTAAGAGTTAGAGTGACACATTATCACTCCATAATGTGGACTAAGAGTAAAGGCATATCTTTTTAACTTGCTGATACACCTGATGAGATTTATGTTTTTTTGTGCGTCACACAAAATTTCAGCTGTCGTTCCTCGCTGCTAAGGACATTTCGCAGGAGAGACATACTGACAGTGTTGAGTGTCAAATTATTTACCTTTGTTGTAAAGGATCTGTAAACTTGAGCTTATTTGTGTAAATACAATATTGATATTAGCTCTTTGATTGTTATATCGTAACAATATCAACATAGTTAGGTATGAGCTAGCCTGTTCCAAGCGTTCAGATAGTGGAGAGCGGTGCGAAGTAAAGAAAGCGATAAAAAGTAGAGGGGAACTGGGGAGAGAGGTGAGGGAACGCTTGTAAGAATTCTTAACAAAAGTGCCTTCCGGTATACCAGATCCTGGTATACCCTCTGATTGGTTGATTTTGACAGAATGTGTCAACACTGGAGCGTCTTCGATCACAGCGAGAAATGCGATATGGCCGTTATGACAGACTCTACGTGCCGTCACGCAGAATTCAAACTCGCAACAAACACAGCGCTGAGTGACTTTCCAAACGTGTAGGCTAAAAGCGAAGAGCAAAGAAACTGTTTAAAACACGTAGTCGGTAGGATAGATGTCTTAGCAATTTCTCACCGACTGGCTTTGGAAAAATTCTTATTTTCCAGTTTTTTCCTCGAATAAAGCGTGCGTTGGAATGAAGGCAGGATAGAATGCCATTTACGATTGTTGTGGTAACTCCGTTGATTACCATCATGGAAGACCAAGTGGAATATTTGCGGCGGCAATGATGGGAGAAGATGTGGATGAAGCCGTTAAAAGTGGAAGCTGTGAAATTGTTTACTGAAGTGCCAAATCGTGGTTGTATAATGAATGGACAAAAGGACTTCAAAAAGGAAAGCTTGGAAAGCAAGTTGCAGCTATCGCTATTGACGAGGTCCACTCAATCACCGAATAGTAAATTTTCCCTTCAATTGTTGTGCATTTTCATTGCTTGAGTTAACGATCTGTATTGAAACGGCTTTCTATCGAAATGAGCGATATTTGTTTGTCACTTGATTCATAATTTTTTGCCACGTACACGCTGAAATAATGTTTTAAAGCCGTAAATAAATTCATTATACATGAATACTTCTCCCGCCTTCTATTGTCTGAAAGTCTTACATTGGGTTTTTAGTAAGATTATGTATACATAATATTAATTTTTGATCTGACAAACTTCGATTTATTCGCAACAAAAATAATAAATGCATCGGGCTGTAACACCAGTCTTGATTGACAAGTGAAGACCACCTACAGCTGATGCGGTCTGACTGGGCGGAAGAGTCTATTTAAAACAAATCTAACAGGCGTTCCCTCTCTCACCTCTCCTCCTCCCTCGCTTTTCTTTTTTCGCGCTCCTTTTTACTTCGCACCGCTCCCCACTATCTGAACGCCTGGAACAGGCTAGGTATGAGCAGAAATGAGTTTAAGTTATATATTATTGCTCTTTGATCGGCTTGCGCTTAAGATCAAGATTAAGCTCTGTCATGTCAGTGACAATGCAAAAGTACATGTACTTCTGTAGTCTCCCATGGCTGGGTCTTCTGTCTTTTTCAGAGATTTTAACAAAACAGCTGGCTTAATTAAGACCTACTTAAGCAAATAAAATTTAAGACAAAGATACTAAAGAAGAAGGTCAACAAAATTAAATCAAGTGAAATTAAGCTTTATACGCCTTACCCACATTTTTTGCATCATTCATTGGAGAACGCAGGAGAACGTCAAGCCCATGTTGAGCAATCTTAAAAATAACAAGTCACACACCGCACCGATCTCTCTAAATAAAGATCATTGCATTTCGATCCGGTGACTCCTTTGGAAGGGGAAAGCACATGAAATACCCGTGTACGTGGGTGTTCGGAAATAGAAAGGACTTTGAAATAGAAGTTTTTCAAAACATATTCCTGCGTGCTTCGTCAAACGCAGCCAAAAGACTGGGCCCAGACAAGCCTTACATTTGCGCATGTTCTTTTTGGTAAACCGTTGACATACTGCTGGCTCGTGAGGACTAGACTCCAGTTTTCTCGCTTCTCCTTCCCGCTTTGACATCCATAGCAACAACTTTTTGGAGGCAGTTCTGGAGGAAAAATTAAAACCATGGAGGTTGCTGGAAGGAAGATTGCTTCTCCGGTAATGTGCAATCACTTAAAGAATGTTTTAACGTCTTGCTGTCTTCTTAAACTAGGTTTTCCAGGCTGGAAATAGGACTTTGAAGAAGAAAACATCGTTATCAGCTGAAACTCCGACTTACAAGCTTGCTCATATCTTGCTGAAATCTTGCAAGTCTCTTTGAAATAACTGAGTGTGACTTAAATTCAAACAAGACATTTAATTTCTCTATTTGTCAGGAAGCCATATGTCCCTAGTGCGTGAATTTCAAAACCCCTGATTTCACATAATATGCATGGAGGAGGAAGTCATTGCCCCAGTATTATACTAGGTTCAATGACACCTTTTTGTCTGTGTGTATATGTCTCTGTTTCAAGGCTATGTTTTACCCAAGCAGGGCCTTGGGGACGTTCCATTTGTTATCTGCACCCCCCCCCCCCCCCCCCCCCNCCACCTAAAATAACTTTTTACGGACTTCTTTTTAAATACAATTACGTGGGATGTCTTCTGCCTTTAATGTTTAGTAGTGATTTTCTGTTTGCAATCAAAAGGGACGCGTATATCTTCAGGGAAACAGGAAGATTTTGTGGGTTTCCGAAGCATCAGAAGCTCGACAAGTGGGCTATGGCTGGAGAAAAGCGGCAAAATGTTGGCCCAAACTTCACATTGAAACCGAGTACGAAAGCCAGATCACTACAATTCTGTAAAACGGATTAAAAACAGATATTGGTGGCGAGAAAAAGAGAAATAAGCGACGGATATACGGCCTACTTGTTAACGGAAGAGACCTCCGCCATTACCTAAAACAGGTCAAGTCGAGAGCGGGTGAAAGATTCATTCACAAGGCTCATTTATTCATGTCAGTGTCATTTTATAGATATCTATGTATATATGTATGTCTGTATTTACAACTTCCTTTGGATCATATTAATTCCGTCGCTTTGGAGTGAATTGTTACTGAGGTACGTTGGCAGATCTTGCTAAAAATCTCATGATTTCTTTGTCATTGCGAAATAATTGAAAAAAAAATTATTAAAATTAGAAGCTGTACTGTGTGAATCTTATGGCTTGCTATTTGCCTGGTCTCCTTTAGGGCATTATCTCAGAGAGCTCTTGGTAAAAAAGTAGTATAAAGCTTACATTTTACTAGGTTAAACTTTTAAGGTAATGTTTGTGTCAGGAATGAACACGGCAAGCTTCTGTTTCGAATAATTAAATTCGAGTGTGGATCCGTTTAAGAAGAGCATCATTTTATTCATTTATGTATTCTTCAACTTTAAAATATTATGAAATATTAAGTTAAAACTCTTAACACCCAAAGATAAGAAATACGAAATTACTCGGCCGGCTTACCGAGTCTGCCGAGTAACATGTTGAAATTTTGAGCGTACTCTACTCGATTGCTCCTGTATTTATACTAAAAAAATAGTTCTAATTGATGTCCTTTATCGATAAAGACCAGAGAATAACGTCCTGGCAAACAAAAACCAAACATAACTTCATCGAAACCTCCGTCACCTCTTCTTTCCTGTCTTCCTTTTTTCCATCTCGACTTGAACTCACTGTGTTTCTGTTCAACGGCAGACGTCTCTTGCGTTAACAAGTAGGCCATATATCTGTCGCTTATTTCTTTTTTTCTTGCCACCAAGATTTGTTTATATTTCTGTTTCACCGAATTGCAGTGAGCTGGCTTTCGTACTCGGTTTCAATGTGAAGTTTGGGGCAACATGTTTGCCGCTTTTCTCCGGCGATTGTCCACTTGTCGAGCTTCTGATTCTTCGGAAACCTACAAAATCATCCTGTTTCCTTGAAGATATACGCGTCCCTTTTGATTGCAAACAGCAAATCACTACTAAACATTAAAAGCAGAAGACATCCCACGTAATTGTATTTAAAAAGAAGTCCGTACAAAGTTACTTTAGGTGGAATCCGCGCTTAACACTCTGCAAGTTCACTGAAAGTCTTCATTTGCAATTTTTGTTTATCCTCCAACGCCTCGCTTTCATGACTAGGCACCAGTTTTTTCCCGCGTGTCCGCCATTTGTGAATACGGTGTATTTGTATCATTAGCCTGGCAACTTGAAATTTCATTGGCAGCCCTGATCAACATCATCATCATCATGGCATTGTTGTTTATTAGTAGTACACCACCAATGTTGTCATGACAACTGTCACCCTCATCATCATTATCTTGACCATCGTCACTGTTATAATTTTTTTTAGCAACAGCACGAGTCACCTCATTTATTTCAAGACTTTGTTGTAAAAAGGCCTGACACCGTTGTATAACTTCCTCTTCACAGGAGTCTTGCCACAGTTCCACTGCTAACAGAACTCTGTGTAAAGCACATTGTTGGAAACTTTGAAGGTGAGATTGAATTCATTGCATCTTTGATTTGGATTCTAAAAAATACATTAGGCTTCACTACAGTGATACAAGTGGGTCTTAGCATTGCCTCACTGGAGAGTATGACACTTTTTGTAGATAATCCAATTCTTGATGAACTCCTTCCAAAGCACAAGTCCAAAGTGCTTGATGCTCTTTCTACAGAAATTGCAATGAAGTAAGTACATGTAGTAATCGTAAGATACACTGTCGATCTCATTGATTATTTTCTGAAACCAAAAGATTTAAACTTTAAGGATTGTATGCATCTTAAAATCCCTTAAAAATCCTTGAATTTCAGGAGGCCTTGAAAGTACTTGAAATTGGGTTATGGTTCTCAAAAGTCCTTGATTTTTTTACCGAAAAATAAAAAAAGAGAAATAAAATGAAATAAAAAGCTTTCAAAATACACAAAATAGTTATTGTTTATTGGTTTCCTGTACTCTCTTGTTACCAGTGCACTGTGCATCTCCATGCTGGCTGCATGGAGAAGGACACCTGCTTGTGTTTTCATAATTCAATCTCTCTCTCTTTTTTAACCTGAAAAGTTGCACAAACCCTGAACTAAACAATGCATGAACAACAAGTTTTCTCTTTCTTTTGTAAAATAAAAAATGTCTCATTAAGTTGTTCCGCACACTCATGATGTAGACTTCTTATTTTTCATCTGGTAACATGCTATATTAGCGAACTCTCCTTCTGACCAACATTGCTTTGAAAATTCTATAATCATGATATTTAAATTTTTTATTACATAACCTGACAGAGTTACAGCTAATCTCGTATCAGATGAGGGTTACTGGAAAAGATGCTGTAAGGCAAGATGGGAAGTATGCGACATTAATCAACATGGGATTAGCTGGAAAAGAATGTACTTTGAGAGGAATCTGGAAGGTTTGTATTAAAGACTTCTCTTCTTTTGCCCCACTTAAACCCCAATTTTTACTAGGCCTGCAATGATACCTTGATGCATTGACGAACCATGATATTTCTTCCCAAAATAAATTATTTTGATTATCAATATTCAGTCAAGATATCACAATATTATGTTTCAGTTAAATGTGTGCTACATCAACAAAATTTTGAAATCACTGTCCCTAATCCTACCGAAGCTATGCATTTAAGCCCTTGCAGGGCAATTTGTGATGAAACCAAAATGAAAGGCCATCGTAATATGTTTATTTACATTCACATAACCTCTCTATTTGACCTGCAGGTATTATTGAGAACTTTGTTCCAGAAACCACAGATCCAACTTTGGTAAGTTGTAATAATATAGCCAAACAAGAGCTCTGACCTGGAAAAGTATTTGGTGGCTATTGTGTAGACGGACAGTTTCCTCTATTTCTCATTTTAAAGAAACTTATTTCCTAAAACTGGGTCACTTATAGTAATACATGTACCATAGTTAACTTGACATAATCATAAAAAAAGAATTATTTTATTATGTATCTATTTTATTTTGTGCACAGTTAAATGAGACGCTCAAGCTGTCAGCCCCATACGTGAGAGGCCTGAACATCAGACAGCTTCTACCACCTGTTAAAGAAGCTTTAATCAAGGATGATGATGCCTCTGATGCGTAAGTACAATAGAGATCATATTTATTACAGAGGAAGATGCAGTTAAGCCACAATGAATCTGTTAAGGCAGAGATGATCCCAGATTTTGAATGAGGTACTTTAAGGTGTTTTGCTCTCCTGCAAGCTGAAGGATCAAGAAGAAGGCTCAACTGGGAGAGAAGTATGTGCTTACCAGCAAAATAAAGAAATATTGAAATATTTTGAAAATCTCCCAACTTGTCTGCTCTGTGCATTTTTGTCAGCTGAGTTCTTTGATATGAATGGAACAGTTATATTCATGAAGACTCATATTTTTTGGAGTAATTAGAAAGTTGCCTATAATATTATGCATAGCAAGCTTTTCTGTGCGAGTTCGTCAAGGAAGTTGGAAGAGAGCAAAAAAAACTCCAATTTTTTTTGGCTTCCGCTCCAACTTTTGTGCAAGACTCGATTGGAAACGCTTGCTACGCAGGCTATGCCTAAACGGGCTGTAATATTTAAGACTGCTGTTGTTGTTTGACAATTTTTTTTTGTCAGGAATGGAATATTCCTCTTATTCACTAGAGCTGCAATAAAGCATTATTCATACAATCAGTTTCACTTCTCTTTCTTTCTTCAATTTTTAGTGGCAGTGATGCAGGTCAAGATGGTCCAAACATTGATCACTTTGACTTTGGTCTCATAACCCCAGGGCTAGTACATCTAGAAGAACTACACTTGACTTATGGGTAAGTGTTCATCATCATTGTATTACCTTGAAAAAACCTCAAAGTAGCCAAAATTTTTGGTGTTACCATTTAAATGAAACCACTTACGCGTGCTGAACCCCTAAGAACATCTGCATGGGAGGTTACCACTTCGGCAGTTCCTTCACATGTAGCCTACGTGCAGACGTTTTCTATTTTTCTGTGTGCAACAAAGGAAACAAAAGACGTTTACACGCAGACTACTTCACTTGGTACCCTCTCTTTTGTCAAGTGGAATTATGGGATTTGTCTAGAATATTGGCTTTGACTGACAGACAGCCAATAACATTGCGACTTAATTGACCGATCAGGGCGATAACCATTTGACAAGATAAACTCACTTTGACTCTAAAGATGACTACCACTAAGATTGTTGCAACGCTAGTCACCATCAACTGCAGTCCTATTCAGGGGACAAAATTCTTGGTTCTTCAATTCAAACAAAACCACTTCAGTTGTTCCTGTACTTTGCTCCCTCTGTTTTGCATAGTCAAATTTGGGGATTTGTCTGGAATATTGGCTTTGACAGAAACACAACCAGCAACATTGCAACTTAATCGAGCAGTCAGGTCAATAACCAGAGTTTAATACCACCAACTGATGTGATAAACTCACTTTGACTCTGAAGATGGCTACTGCAGAGGTTGTTGAAATGTCAGTCAGTGTCAACAGCAGGGATATTCAGGACAACACATGCCTGTACGATCATATCCCATATACTTATGATATGAGTCCTAGATGCAAACCTTTCACTATCTTATTTCTCTGACAGGGTTCGTGGTTGTGGCATGAATTTTGAGTGGAATTTGTTTCAGTTTACAGCAAGAGATTGTCTTCTGCTTGCCAAGGTATTTTATTTAGAATTGTTGTGGTCCAGAAATGTCCTTGTCTTTTTACCGTTGACACAGAAATTTTTGGTGCCCAAGCCTGCCCTGCAAATCTCCTACCCTTAAAAAAACACTGATGCCTTTTTTATTGAGTTTCAGCAGGGGAAAATAATAGTGTTGGACTGTCTGGAGCACTTATGAGTTAAATGTTCAAGGACATTTTTTTTACTGTGGTTGAGTTTGAGTGGCTAAAAAAATCTTAAGCTACTTTGTCAAACAATCAGAAATAATACGCAAACAAAAGGCGACTTGCCTACATGTTAGGCTGTGATGCTCTCCCCCCAACTTTTGCTACGAACTCGCGTGGAAACGCTTGCAAAAAGTAGTTTAGCCATGTGCATTTTCCCGCGTTTGTCAAATGCGCCCACGTCATGTTTTTCCTGAGTTGTTATTGGTGCATATGACTGTCTGCACATGACGTGATTGGCTAGGCAAAAGATCGCGTCTCTTTTTCAACCAATCAGAGGTAAAAGCAAACCCAATGGTGACTTGTTGACATGCGTTTTCCCGCGCTTGATGTCATTCACGTGTACTTTCTTTGAGTCCTGATTGACTCGTTTGACTGTCTGTGCGTACAGTGATTGGCTGGGGAGAAAATCGTACCACTTTTTGAATTAGTCAGAAGAAAGTCATCACATTTGATGGTTACTTGTCTGAGTCATGTTGCGCCCACCTGAATTAATGTTGATTCATGTATTACCCATTTGCAAAAAACGCGCATCCCAAAATTAGAGAAGGAGAAAAGAAGTAAGCACGGGAAAAAGTTAGATAAGTTGTTTGAGAAGCTGTGGCATGAAAAATCCTTCATTTTCGTCAGATCCCCTTTTACTCTGGGTGAAAGAGGTTTTTTCTCGGCCAGGTCACTGTAAACTGACCAAAATAGGAAACCGCGCTAACTGTAAGTCTTGATACGCTTTTCTGCGTGGCCAATCACAACACGCGCAAACAATATGCACCAATCAGAACTCGGAGAAAACATGTGAAGCGGGCGCGCTTGTCAAGTGCGGGAAAATGAGAAAGGCTAGCCTGTGTTCCTGCAACTGTTTCCACGCAAGTTTGTCGCAAAAGCTGGAGCGAGAGTGGTAACTTTCTGTGTAAGTCTTGGTAAAACACACCTCTTTAATAAAACTAAACTTAGTAAGTGGGTTAGAGCATTTCACTGTATCTGATCATCCTCTATCCTATTGTCTCTTTTTTTAGGCTGTGAAAGCTTGTCATACTTTAAAAGTTTTCCACCTTCATCGTAGTGGAGTAGATGACGAGAAAGTTCGTGTTCTTATCAGTAACCTGTTGGACCATCCTTCTCTTCTTACGTTAGGTGGGTAATCCTGAGTCGTTTTTCTTTCTACTCAGTGGTATGAAATTTAAGTATAAGGATGTATACAATATACTCTACTTTTTTTCGGTTTTTCATATCGACAAAATTTTAGGGTAAATAAGAGCATAGACACGGGAAACTTGTGGACGATTTGTTAAAATAATATTTCTTAAAGGGGTTAAGTCAAAGTTTTGTCAAAATATGCGTTGAAAAGGTTTGGAGGTAAACAAGAAGTTTCTCGGGTGCTTCCTCAAAGGCATCTCAAGGAGCTTTGTCACGTTATTTTCTACCTTTTTAAAAAGCGAAAACATGTCTTCGCATCAATAAAATCCCAAAAATAATGCTTTAGCCTGCCACGCAGGCTAAAGCAAAAGGGAGGGCGAGATTCGGGACGGGATGTGGGAGTGTTTTGCCAGACTCGGAGATGATGGAAGTCAAGCGATGTGGGACTAATTTTGCTTTAAATCCTGAATCCCGGCTTTCAAATAACACAAATTCTGGATTCTGAAAAACCTATTAAAGACCCTTCCTTTCGCTTTTCAGATCTTTCACACAATAAGATCAGCGACAGTGGAGCGAGAGCTGTAGGCAAGCTATTGAATGGACGATGTAACTTAACCACTCTAAACCTCTGTGATAATAAGATCCGATCAACCGGTGCAGCCGCCATAGGACACGCCCTCGGCAAAAACACAACACTTACAAATATTAACCTCAGGCTAAACAGGTGAGAGGCGTAAAATTTGGAGTTGTCGTCGCGGTTGGTGCTAAATAGAGAGCTTTAGATTCTAAGACGAGGACGACTACGAGGACAAAGTTTTCTCACTACAAAGTAGTGTGCACGCGTGAACCAGCGTCATTAGGGACTTTAAGATCCAACGACGCGAGGGCGACAAGAACGTCGCTTAAAAAAACTGAATTTGCGTTCTTTCAGTCTTTATACCGATTATTCCTACCTACTTACTTTGTCAATTGTAGGTGAACCCTCCTGAAGCTGAATTTCAAGGGACCAAATTCAAGCTCAGAAAGAGAAATAAAATTTCGTCTTTGCTTGTTTACGTCCTCCATAAAACGCGAAATTAGGCATTTTCACGTCGTAGTCGTGCAAAAACGGGAAGGAAATGTATAAAAAAGCGTGATACACGTGCGAAGTTGTTGTTGTGCTAATTAAACCAATTGTTTTTTTGACGTTCTCGTTGTCGTCCTCGTCGTTGGATCTTAAAGTCCCTATTTTAGCCGGAAAACGTGATAGCCGTCGTCATTCTACTACTACTATAAAAATTGCCCTAAAATGTATCTAAAAATAAACTGGTCCGTAAAAACGCCGTGACATAGGCCGAGTATGGGAGTTGCTCTTTCCGGGTTATGGGCTCCTGATTTATACTAATTATCCTTTGCTGGTTTCTGTTGCCAGACTCGGAGATGATGGAGGTCAAGCGATTTGCCGTGCTCTTCTCAAGAACAACACCTTAACACACGTTCATCTCGGGAGTAATGACCTCGGTGAACCAACAGCAGCCATTCTTTCACAGGTATATATAAAGTTTCTAGGTTCCTTTAAGGCTTCTAACCATGGTTTTTCACACCATGCTGGTCTGCTTTAGTCTCCCTCGCATCAGTCACGGCAATTTCTAGTGTTGTCACGCAATGCTGGGGATGAACGTTGCGTCACGGCACTAAAAATCGCTGCGAGGGAGACTAAGCCTGCGTGGCATGCGCGAGGGGCCTCGCGAGGGAAGTAATCGACCTTGCGAGAACGCTATGGTTCCTCGCGCGCCCAGATCTTTCGTCTCTGTTACCCGGCAGGCGGCTGGGAGTAATGTGCGTGACCGCGTACAAGAAAGTGTAAAGCATGATTTTCCTTTCTAGTGAAACAGAAAGATCTCGGTTTCTCCGGCAGACTTCATTGAAAACAAGGAAAGTGAAGCCTTATACTTTCAAATTTAAATTTTGACTTACACTTCCTCGACTGTGACATTTCCAAGCACCTTTATCACAATGTCGGTTTTGCGTGGATAGTAAAAACAAAATAATTCGAAATGGATTTTATGTGCTCGTTTTCTATGATAGACTGCGTGAAGTCTGCCTTTTCTTTTAAAATACGTCTGGTTCTTATCTCAGCCAGCGCGATTGTAAACCACGATGCTACGCCTTCGCTTACGCCCTCGTTTATGCCGGCTCGTGTGCTTGGGTTTCGAGTGCAGTAACTTTGCAAAAAAAAATAAGATACTGCTCGCATTCATTCTTCTATTTGTATGACAGTTTCCCAGACTGACTGATTCATTTTTTTTTTGTTTTCTGAAAGGTTTTAGCCTCGAACAAAACGTTAGTGGATCTTAACTTATCTTGCAACAATATCGGAGCGGTGAGTGTTTGCTTGTTTCTACTCTACTGCTCGCATTCTATTTGTATGACAGTTCTACTCTCACAGAAGCACTTCGGGAAGTTGTTTCCCCCAGAGGAGACGGGTAATCTCGTCCCTAGGGCTTTCCCTAGGGAGGAGGGTGGGGAAAGTGGCCACTGCCTGCCAGTAGCTGAATAGCTTACATGTAGGGTTAGGCGGTTAGGAAAAAAGGAAAAGTTTGTGACAATTGTATTTAGTGTAAGCTGAAATCGCCCCGTCTGCGCTTCCAACAACAAGTGGTATGGCGCTCATCTCTTATGACAGAGCAATTTTCGTCGAGTTTTATTCTTCCGCACAATTTGATTCGCTGAAAAAAAGCTCTTGCGCTGTAACACCCAGCAATCCGGGATAAAACCAAACCAGACATGAGTCGTTCACACGACTTTAGAGGTAGCTTACCACAGACGTTTTTGATCAATGCACGTCAACCGGAGGTGAGCTTTTTGTATTCTTGGGCAGTTGTGTTTGCCACATTTTCGGAAAGGAACTTAATAATGCAAATTTGATAGGGTCAAGGCATATTACAGTCAACTCTATTTATAGCGGACACTGTAGGGACCTCGAGTTAGTGTCCTCATTAGCGAGAGTTCGTAATAACGAGAGTTTATTTCATTCAAACGTCTGTAATTTGTTTTCGCCTGGAATTTAGCAGCTTGTGTCCGTATTATCAAGGTGTCCGCGAGGAGAGAGTTGGCTGTAATAGGAAAGAGACATCACTTCCGGTTGAGGTGCGTTGCTCCAAAAAGACGGATACTTTTACGTATCTGGGTAACTGACCATTTACCCCTCCCCTAAACCAACATTAACACTTACTTCTCACTTAGGGCAAAATGTTGATTTAGGGGATGGGTAGGTCGTCAGTTACCCAGAACGTATAATTAGCTCCCTATTTAGCTCCCTATTGTAACCTAAACGTGTTTCCGACATTTGACTGTGGTTCTTAGGACGGTGGAAAATCACTACAAGAAGGAATGGGGGAGAACTCAACAATACGAGCCATGGATTTGAGATTAACAGAAGTTGGTCAAGAGAATGAATACTGCATAAACCAGTTGTTGAAAAGGAACAGGGAGGAGCAGTACAAGCTAGGACAAACAAGCTAGGACTATTTTCATTTTGTTTATACAATGACGAACTTCGTGTTCAACAAATGTCACCTTGTCATATAGTTTGCATTGTGTTGTCTTCTAACACATTACCAATGGAAAATTTCATATTTAGTTCAAATTCTTCCTCTATGGAAGAATAACTTGGAGTTTATTTTGCAAGTTATCTAAAGTTATTCTTAAGTTATTTAAAAATATTAAAAAGTATCAATGTCGTCTAAACACGCTTTCTTTGTGCGTTTCTCATGAATATTTCAGTCAATCATAATTCTCGTGCCGATTTGTGTATCGTGGTTTACTGTGTTAAAGTAGTTTCTTGAATTGTGAGTCAAAAACTTTCTGCAAAATAGAATTTCAGCGTTTAGACTTGGATTTCTTCTGCTAAGTAAGAAGAAATCAGGCATTGTTAATCTGGAAAATCTCTCATTATATCATGATACCACTAGAGGAAACATTTAAAAGTATTTTCACGGTTCTTGAAGGTGATAAAAGTCTGTTTTACTGCTTTACAGCCGTTGCACAGCTGTAACTGAACTGTGTTTTTTTTTAACCAGTGACCAACATCTTAATGTGTCAAAATGTTTTGACCTGTTTATTTATTTCTTTCGCGGTTTATTTGGTGCGTCTGTTTTTCTTCCCTTTCCCAGTAACTACGTTTTTAAGTTGACTATACTGTATAGATAAGCTTTCGAAAGAACTATATTAGTTTGTGACGTCCTTTTTACAGGAACCCCAACCCAACAGGGACCGCATGTCACGTAACCTCCTACGCAAAACTTCACATGATAAATTAATCATGTCTAATTTTATTTTCGATTTGTTGCCCTTCAAGCGAGGTTGTTATCTAAGTATAACTTTATCTCCTTTGTTGCCAAAAGTTGAGTACACTCGTTTCGATTGAGAACATTTTCTACTTGTACATAACCAATTGTACATGAAAGGCTTGTCGCAAAGTGACAAGGTTCTTTTATAACTTTGAATGTAAATAAATAAAATCCTTCTGTAAACTACAGGCGTGTGTATTGACTTATGGTATTCTGAAAATCCAATGTTTTTTCAAAGTCATTAGCACTTATGTTACATATAAACCAGAAACTCCTTTCTCATAAAACTCGAGTCGCCAGGTCGCACGCGTTTGACCTTGGGTACATCCAATGAAACTATTCATTTTTACGCATCTGTGCCTTGTAAGCTAGAAAAAAACTGTTTGCCAAACGTAGTAAAGTTGTAATGGCTCGTTTCCACTTAGAAAGTGAAAAAAAAAAAAAAAGGTCACGAACGACGTGTATTGTAAAAAGGAGAGAGTTGTGTGTAGAAATTTCAGATGTGTCGGGGAGGGGTAGGGGGTCTTGTGTGGGCAGCGGGAAGAACCTCGTTGTTGGGAACGAGGTTGAGTGGGAATGTGTAGTTTTGCGACTTTGCGTTCCCTTAGGTCAGGAAGACGTTGCGTAGAAAAATGAACTAGTTCACTACCTTCTTATTTCTTTCAATACTCTATTTGTTAATTACCCTTGAACGCAATAATGAAAATAATGGTTTTAATAGTACAATATATGAATTAATAGCTTTATAAAATATTCAGGCCCATTGTCCAAGTATTTCTGGAAATGCCTCAAGAAAACTACTTAGCTAATGCTCAAAACATTCCAAACTTTTTGACACGTTGCGTTCTTGTGCTTTTCTGTAACTAACCACTGCAGATTTGTTAAATATCACTTTGAAAATTATAAGCCACCCGTCTGAAAAAAATATGAAATAATTTGCTCTGATTTTACAGCTTATTAATCCTTTAAAAGGGAACGCGGAAATTTTTAATTGTTCTAGTTATTCTGCTCGTCAGTCATGCATACCATATGAGCGTCACCTCCAAAAAATGAAAGTAATAGTAGAAAATACCAATATTTTCGAAAGTTGAAACTCGTTTAAAAGCACCGTGTTAAAGTGCACGTTTTTATAAAGTTCAAGCACTTTAAACTATATTATTATTATCTCCAAGCTATCACCTCTGTATAGACAATTGCATACGAAATTACTTGAACGAATACAGCAACGCAATTTTTCCTGCACAACAGGAATTTTTAGAACTTGTGTCTATTTACTCCGCCGCTAAGTAACCTCAAGTTAACATTTGTGGAAAAATTACTCAAAAATTTTTTTCGTCGCTGACTGTCTCACGTACCGTCACGGGATCTTCAAAGAGCCAATCACATCACGAGGAGATGACGTATTATGCCAAAATGGGCTCAAGCTGTAATTACCATCATTCGTACTTATCTGCGCTATCTGCTCTGCATTTGCATTTCGCAAGTTGTGAAGTTCTACGTCTCTATATTTTGGTCGTCTGAAGCAAAGGAAAAAGTCAAGATGGCATCTGGTGGAATGGTTCTTATCAAATATCTCTTATTCTTCTTTAATTTCATTTTCTGGGTAAGTATATTTCTTGTTACGTGACCTCTTCTTGAAACTAAGGAGTGTTGTACATTTCTGGAAGCTGTAAAGCTCATGCATAATACGCCTTATGCATGGCGCCTCTGTAAGTCGAGGTAGCGTGCTGATCGCGGAATTGAAAGTGAAAGTGAAAGTGTCTATATGTATATGGCTGATAAATTCAATGTTTTTTCACAACAAAATTTTGCTCCTCTCCGAACCGAACCAATCTCGATGTCTTCGAAACATGTACAGAACATTTGAAAATCGCACCAGTCTTTTTCGAGTATACTGGTCGTGACTTATCGAAAATGTGTCACCATTTCAGTAAACTGAGATGACGAAAGGGAACAAATTTCGAATGAAATAGGATTTATCTGAGTGTTTTTGACGCGCCTATTTTCCACGGTTCAGTCGCTTAAGTGAATTCGTTTAACTTTCACAACCCAACTAATTTGCCAAATCAAACTTTACAGAATCCTCAAACAGGGATCCAATAAATTATTGATGTACTGTTCTTACTGCACGTAGTAGGGGATATTTATCGTCTACACAAGACCGCCAATCGCTTGCTCAATCGAAGTCACAAATATTCGTGTTCATTGAAGCGTATACTGCTTGCTTTTGTGTATATTTTGCTTCTTTTATGTTTTTCCAGGTTCAGTGAGCATAACATATAACTGTGCCTTTCCCTTTGTTTGATTTAAAGGTATTACAAGAGAATTTTTTTCCGCCATATTTCTTGCTCAGTCAAGAAAGCATGAGAGAGATGTTTTTAAAAAATCACTCAATATTTGTATGCGTCCAACTGGTTCTGCTTACTAATTTACGAATTCTTTAACCCTTATTATTTTGTATGTTGATTTACATAAAAACATCTGTTGAAATTCAAAATAAATCCACTGAATTGTATTGCTTTCTTAAAACAATTCAATATTGCCATGGATATGATATTTCTGAGGAAGCAGCCATATGTGAATGAAAGATGTTCTTCTTTTTTTTTATAAAATGCTTTTAAAACTTCCTGTAGAAACAAAAACTCAAATAAATGCATAAACTTAAGAACGTTTTCCAGGCATCTTTTATGTTACTATAGCTCCCATTGTATATAGTGGGTATGGATACTTATTATATCCCATCATTATTATACTTCCCCAACAGAAAATGTGTTTCCCCTGGTAAAAATACATTTCACCTATTATCTCTTCCTTTTTCACTTCTGCACTAAACACCATAGCCTTTGTCGTCATATGACTTTTCTGAATGTAAGTGAGTAAAAAACAAAGAAATGATATATTCGGTTAAGTTTTAGACAAGTTTGTTGAAACTAACCAACACCAGTCTGAAATTGATTAGTTAACAGTTCATGCCGTGTTGTCGCCAGAGAACGGCAAATTTTGGCTGTGTAGTCTTGGGTTTATTCCACATGAAACCTGGACAAACTTTGATGATATTCCTGTTGTGTTGAGAGTTAACATAACATAACTTTATTTAGGTGTCAATGTGATAAGCTAATTGAAGCTAATTGGGGACACTAAGGGAATAGTGGTTGATTGTCCTCAAGATTACTTAACAATTAATGAATAAGGCTGGGTATCTTATGAAGAATTATGCATTTTGAGGAGGGTGTTATCCGTTGAGACTGTAGGCTTTCGTATCATACGAAGAATTATAGCGATCTTTGTGCATTAACCTGCAAGGAAGCTGCACTTTTGACGTCACCGGTTGATTAATTGCAAAATTCTTCCAAATTTGGGCACCAGTAGCTGGTTATGGTGAATTGTGCATGTTAGCCAATCAGAATCGGGAAAATATTTTGAATGAATAATGAAATAATTTATCAAGAGGTATCAATAATAATTAGTCGTTTGAATAAAGGGTATGTCATGGAAATTTCACTGTTACTGGCAGCATTTTTGTGGGTCAGATTTTAGAATTTTACAGTATGTCAATGAAATTTTTTTTTTCAGCTCTCGGGCCTCGCTCTGATTGTGGTTGGTGCAGTCATCAAGGCAAAATATGGCGACTTTGTTGAAATAACTACTAGCAGTCTGACAACAGGACCAGTCTTTCTCATCATCATCGGCGTCATTGTGGCCATTGTTGGATTTTTAGGATGCTGTGGAGCATACAAAGAAAATTACTGTATGGTTACCACGGTAAGTGCTATGTGGAAGGGTGAAGGGGGGGGGGGGGGGGTGGGTAAAACCCCAAGGGGAATTAGGGGAAAGGGGGGCTCTTTGGTTTGGAATGAAATCCATTTTTTGAAGCGTAAAGCACCAAGATTTTTTTATTCTTTCCCCTTGGGGTGGGACCCGGTTTAACGCTTTAACCTTTATTTGTTCTTTTTTGTGTTAAAGGCAAGATCGGAAACGGAGGTGTGTAGTTGAGTGGGGTTTAGAGGTGTTCTTTTCCAATTGTTTTTTGGGATGGGTGAGGGAAAAAAAAAAAAATTAATTTTTGGGTACCAGGGAAAGGGGCTTGGGGAAGGGGGGAGGGGGGGGGGGGGCGTTGAGTAAAAGCCCAAGGTGCATTAGGAGCAAGTGGTGCTCTTTGGGTTGGAATGTAATCCATTTTCTGAAGCGTGAAGCACCATGAATTGTTGATTCTTTCCCCCTTGGATGGGATCCGAGTTAACGCTTTAACCCTTATTATTAAAATTTATTTTCTGATTTGGTACCCTTATACCTTTTCTACTGAAGTAGTGAAGAGAAATTGTGGAAATATCAGTTCTTTATATTATTTTTGTGTGATCATGTCCTTAATTCTTATCACCACTGTGTTTTATAAAGCATTGATATTACAAGGAGAAATTTGATGCTGCTTAAGGGTTAATTACAGGGATATCCCCAGCAGAATGACGCCGCTGCCAATGTATACACCTGGGATTAGAGAGACGAAGTGCACCAAAGTTTTTTGTTTAAGAAGATGATGTGATGACAAGGCTCGAACCCTTACTTACAGATCCTGTCCTACTTGTTACGTACTGTTTAAAAAATGAGCGGGAGTGTATTATCAGGTTTAAAAACTCGAGAGGAAGCCAAGTTATTACACCTGATAATACATGACTGCGAGTTTGTTAAACAGCTTCAACATCTCTGATATATATCAACTCATTCTTGCACTAAAATTTAGATTTGGGCTGATTTTGGTCTAAAAGATTGGACGTTAAGTTTAGCCGTGTCTTTATCAGATATAACAACTCTCGTTAAACATTAATTAAGTTTTGAACTGCTGTTAAAACTTGCCTCCATTAAGCCCTAGGTGGTTGGGGGTGTGTGTGGGGTGGTCCACTATTATAAAAATGATATGGAGCTGTGTGAACACCTTTCTTTCTTGGGTTTGAAATGAGTCTTAAGGTTTAAGCTTTGAGGGAATGGAATGAGGCCCTCTAAGTGACACCTGGTCTAAATTCAAAGTCACCGTTTGATTCTTAAGCACATGGAAGAAAAGACAAATGCAAGGACAATCTGGCAGTTCATCAGAAGTCACCTGGGACTCCTTTAGTAATGGAGGGGCCTGTGCAGAACAAAGCTTATAATGGATGTGATGCCAAATTCTCCCGCTTTCTTTTCAGTTTGCTATATTACTGGTAATCATTTTCATCCTGGAGATTGCAGCAGGTGCCTTGGCCTATGCCTTCAAAGATAAAGTAAGTTCTTCAGTTCTGTTGGAGCAACATACATATATATACAAAACATGGCTGTTGACAAACCTGGTTGGCATCCAACTGGATCAATCCCCATAACCCTATTCCTAACCTTCTGGCATTTGGTGAAATACACAGGTTGATCTGATCCGGTGCGATCTAGCTGTTATTGATGCCTACAAAGCACTGTGTGTTTACCCACTTTTCTCATAAGCGCATAGAAAAACTACAATATTAACCTTATGCTGACACCATTTTTTATTTGTCATAGGAGCACAATTTAGGACGTTCCTATTGCTAAATAAAATAAAATAAATAAATAAATAACGATTTGCAGGTAGCACATCCACATAGTGGTTCTTCGTCTACCTGATTCCCGGTCGAGTAGGAATTTGGAAATGTTGGTTTTTGAGGAGAGGGGAAAACCGGAGTACGTGGAGAAAAACCTCTCGGAGCAAAGGAAAGAACCAACGACACAAACTCAACCCACATATGGCATCGATGCTGGGATTTGAACCTGGGCCACATTGGTGGGAGGCGAGTGCTCTCACCACTGCGCCACCCTTGCTAAATATTCACCGTAATGTGCTTTGGGTGCATATTGGGCCCCTGTTAATAATCTATTTATGCGCCATTTTTATACTTATACGCCATTCATGTGTAGCGTGGACCCAATGCAAAAATGGCTGCGAGATTAATATTCTTGTGTTTGAATTAAACTTAGCCTGACTAGCCTTGCTTGAGATAAGGTATTCTTTGAATTTTGTACTTAAGAATGAGGCTAGTTAAGGCTTTATTTGAATATGAACAACAGAATATGAAACTACTGTGGCCATTTCCTCTGCTTTAGGCCTAGTGAAATAATGACTTACACACACTGTGTAGCTGCACCCGTGTTCCGCCCTTTTTTACATCATGTATGTGTCACTGATTTCTGCTCATGCGCACTAGTTTTGTTATGTTATCGACCACGCGGTCCGATGTAGAGCCCAGAAAGGCGTAATTTTTACCTTTCTGCTTGCTGTTTTCCAGTTTTTCTGTTTACCAATTTATTTGTACATCTGTATATCTTAAATTTGATAGAGTCACTTCTTTAGCGATTTGGAGATGTAGTACGTGTATGGATTTGTGATTAAAGCTATGATAATCTGTTCAAGTAAAATGGGTGTTTTGGATTTCGGACCCGCGCTGGCATACACTGACTTGCTGATTTTAATATCTTTCTTGTTGTTAATTTAGCTTGAGGGTTATGTGAAAGAGGGGCTTGAAAAAGGTGTTGACAAGTATGCTACCGATAAGGTTATCCAGAAGGCTATGGATAAAGCACAGAAAGAAGTAAGTTGCATGGTTTTTAATCACAAGTGGCCAATACTTTTGCCATCTCTGTTAGCCTTACTACCAAGATACTTGTTGTATTTTGATCACAAGTGACCAATACTTTTGCCATCTCTGTTAGCCTTACTACCAAGATACTTGTTGTATTTTGATCACAAGTGACCAATACTTTTGCCATCTCTGTTAGCCTTACTACCAAGATACTTTTTATATTTTGATCACAAGTGACCAATACTTTCTGCCATCTCTGTTAGCCTTACTACCAAAATACTTGTTGTATTTAATTTTTAATTATTAACTGGTAAATAAGAAATATTTACTTCAGTATTAATAATGTGTTTGGGTTGAGTAAAAAACATATAGTCTAAGATTTTTGTGTATGTGCCACTAGTATCACTGCCTGAATCCTTATTGAATCTCCAAACTGTTTTTGGATTGTTGCTTTATCAAAATGTGATGCAAGCCTATTAATAATAATTTGACGGGATTTGCATAATCTGTGCCACAGACAAAACTAAACCTCTGGGCCCAGTTGTTCAAAGGCTGATTAGCACTTAACCCAGGGTTAAATTTAACCCTGGTTTCCTTTTTCTTATGTTCAAAAGTATTTTCTCAAATCTCGCACTAACCCTAGGTTATCTTAACCCAGCTTTGAACAACTCGACCCTAGTTAAGTTTGACTATCAACCAGCGCTGAAATTCTTGTTCTAGGCCCCTAACTTTTACCCGGATTAGATTACTCACAATGCATGTGGTTGGCCTGTTAAAAGAGCCATTATCTGATTGTCAATCAGGTTGAAGAGAAGTTTAAAATGCACTGTTGATTCCATTGGGGGCCCAGGACTAGGGTATTGGTGCTGTTTGATAGTCTTTATTAATCAGGGTTAGATTATGTCTGTGACATAGGTTGGATTTGTATGGCCTCATGGTGGTTGTATTCATGGGATTCTACTGTCTGTCTTTTTCTTGTAGTTTGCTTGCTGTGGGGTTGATAATTACACCGACTATTTCAAGGCTGGCAATGGTACAGTATTTCCAGAATCTTGCTGCAAAAAAGGTGTAACTGGTTGCCCAACAACTGTGAGTGACGCAAAGAAAAATCCAAGCAAGTTGAACTCAAAGGTAAGTGCATGATGTTAGGTGTTTCCTCAAAGATATTTTAGTACTTGAAACTTGGGTTGCAGTGGACAAGTCAAATGGGGCATGGCCGGAGACAAAGTATTGTTGTAGAATGTACTAAAACTCTGTTTAGCAAACACGGTCATAAAGCAAAAAAAAAAGTTGAAAATTTTGTTGTCAACTTCAGAGCAAATTCCTTTCAATTTTCTTCCTCATAATCAATTTTTAATTCCTGCTCAGTTTGATGTTTTCAAGATTAATCTTGCTGTCCTACTTTCAGGGTTGTCTGTCAGAACTTGAAAAGTACCTTAAAGATCACATTGTTGTTGTTGGTGGAGTTGGTATCGGTATTGCTTTTATTCAGGTTTGTAACTTAATGTGTTCTTGTACTGTATCTATTGAAGGGTGTCAACTTCAAAGTAATAACTTAAGTCAGATGTAGTGCTTGCAGCCTCTGGTCCCTGTCAGGACTGAGTGAGCTGTCATATTGTTTTCCCCCACTATCCATCTCTTGAACACAGTCAAACCTGTATTAACCCATTAAGTCCCAATAGTGACCAACATTGACCAACATCATTTTCTCCTAACAATATCCATACATAGTCAAGAGATATGGTTATGAGAGGTATTAAAATGATCACCAAAGAGAAAATGCCTTGATCTTTTCTTTAATTCTCTCAACTAATTCTTAAAGGAAGTGTATAGAGATCATTTTGGAGAATTTGTATGCGGATATTTGGGGCTTAAAGGGTTAAGCAGTCACCCTTTGGGAATGGCTTACTGACACTGTTTAATACAGGTTTAACAAACCTGAGAGTTGTTGAAGAAAATGGAAAAGAATAACCTCATAGTGTCTCTACCTCTTCTTATTCCAAAAGAAAGGAAGTAAAAGACTACTAACCAACATGCCACTGTATCTGTTGCAGTTAATACAGTGTATCTTATCTAAGTGACAGTTTAACCCGTTAAGCCCCAATATCCATAGGCAAATTCTCCAAACTGATCTCTATACATTTCTTTAAAGAATGAGTTGAGAGAATTTGAGTAAAGATCAAAGCATTTTCTCTTAGGTGATCATTTAATTAATTCTCACAACCTAGTCTCTTGACAATCTATGGATATCATTAGGAGAAAATTGATGTTGGTCACTATTGGGACTTAAAGGGTTAATAGAGGAGAGAACAATGAAATATAAGTTGTAGGGATGTTGGGAAAGGTGACCCTGACCGCTAAATTCAGGTCAGTTGATAAGTGAGCACTTAATAGAGGGTNAAGAGATATGGTTATGAGAGGTATTAAAATGATCACCAAAGAGAAAACGCCTTGATCTTTTCTTTAATTCTCTCAACTAATTCTTAAAGGAAGTGTATAGAGATCATTTTGGAGAATTTGTATGCGGATATTTGGGGCTTAAAGGGTTAAGCAGTCACCCTTTGGGAATGGCTTACTGACACTGTTTAATACAGGTTTAACAAACCTGAGAGTTGTTGAAGAAAATGGAAAAGAATAACCTCATAGTGTCTCTACCTCTTCTTATTCCAAAAGAAAGGAAGTAAAAGACTACTAACCAACATGCCACTGTATCTGTTGCAGTTAATACAGTGTATCTTATCTAAGTGACAGTTTAACCCGTTAAGCCCCAATATCCATAGGCAAATTCTCCAAACTGATCTCTATACATTTCTTTAAAGAATGAGTTGAGAGAATTTGAGTAAAGATCAAAGCATTTTCTCTTAGGTGATCATTTAATTAATTCTCACAACCTAGTCTCTTGACAATCTATGGATATCATTAGGAGAAAATTGATGTTGGTCACTATTGGAACTTAAAGGGTTAATAGAGGAGAGAACAATGAAATATAAGTTGTAGGGATGTTGGGAAAGGTGACCCTGACCGCTAAATTCAGGTCAGTTGATAAGTGAGCACTTAATAGAGGGTGACCGTTAAATATAGGCCTGCTCAATACAGGTGTGACTGTAAACTGGTTTTGTAAATCCATACCTGCCAACCCCCCTGAGTACAAAAATCTGGTGACGTCTAGAAGAAATCTTTGCATTGTAAGAATGTCATTTTCGACCATGTCTGAATCCTCTCCAAAGTCACCAGAAGGCCTTCCCAATGTCCCCAGCGTCGATAACAGTGTGCGAAAACTGCGTTAACTTTCTACCATATATCGTGCAATTTGATTGGTTGGTTTCTGACCAATTATGATACTTGTTAAATATATATCAATTTGATTGCTCTGTTTTACGTTTCCAGATTGAGAACAGCTCAAATAAGAACACTAAATCCACTTCTTCTTTTATTTTCCTTTTTGTGACATCTCGAATATAATGAAATTAGTGAAAAAAAATTTGAAAAAGGCCACGGTAGGTATTTCGCGGGAGATTTGGTGCTCTAACGAGGATACCGGGAAATGTGATGAAAAACTTGGGAGACTCCAGGCTTCCCGGGAAAACAGGGAGAGTTGGCATTTATGTAAATCTTTCACACTGTAAGGTTTAAACAAACTGTTTGTTGGTCTTATTTTTCAGCTGATTGGCATCATATTTGCCTGCTGCCTCATGAGATCCATCAAGAAGGAATATGAAGTCATGTAATGCCGACATGCATGCTGTAAATCAGCAGCTACGAAGAGTGGAAGTAATTTAAAATACCATTCAGCTCTAGTTTCTTTGCTTAGTTTTAAAGTAATAGGGGTGGTGACTTGTATGTTCAAAGGCTTGGTTCTTGAGGAATTTTTGGACCTAAATCTTGCTGTTTCCTTATGTTTAGAGTTTTTCAACCTTGGCCTCAATCAGAAGGAGTCTGTGATTTTATTGTTAACCATCCCTAGTAATGATGATGAAGTTGTACGCGTAACATGTTAGCATGCTTGCGGTCATTTTCTAAAAAAAAAGATTGCTTTCTTGACATTTGGTTGTGGTGTCTGAAATTTTTTTGGAAGACAGTGATGTTTCTTACGGAACTGCAAACTATCAAATGTCCCATTCTTGCACTTTCCCCCCTTCTTACATATTCTGCTTCGTCTGATGATAGAGGAAAAAAACTGCAAACATCCTGATCATGTTAGATAGCATTAAACATATAAATTCTCGTTTCCACTTTCACTACATTCTTTGATACTGAGTAGGGAGAAAATGATGATACCTCATATTACCTCCCTTTGAAGGTGTCTAACCAGGTAACCCAGCTATATGTCAAAACTTACTTACCTTGTAAAATGTATCTTAATTGTAGGTTAGTCAGTTCCATGTGTTCTTTTGACAATAATAATGGGTTAGAATTTTGATTTTTTGCCTCTTAGTAGGTTTAATTCGCATCGTTGTGTCCAATTAAAAATATTTATAACTTTTTGCTCGTTTGTGGCGTGGTACAAAAGAAAGAACTTACAGCTCAAGGTCTCAGACCTTGTACATTCTGAAGGGGTTAAGAGAAAACTTGCCAGTGAACAAAGGAGTGGATGGTACCAATACTTGGTGTAATGAAAGAAAAGAAGTCGTCTTGAGGTTTAGGGATGAATATTTCATTACTTTAATGCTTATTCTTTCAAGCCTCAGAGCCAAGAATGAATTCTAATGTACATCCAAATTTGTCTGTTGGGTGGTGGAGGTGAACATGGAGCGTGATGGGATTGTAATAGGAACCTCTTCTCTTAATGTTTTCTATATGTGCTTTTCAGGCAATTTTAGCTCAAACTCCTGTACTAGCTTCGTTGGGAAATTGTTATTGGTTGATTTTGTACTAGTTGGTGATTTGTTTTCAATATGACGGTGTAATTTAACTGATCAAAGAGAACAATAAAACCGTGATCAATCCAACCCAATCAATCCAATCCAATCCATCTGTTGATTAAACATACCAGCTGTAAGGTGACCATTTTTAAATATACTGGTGGAGATCATATTGGCCAGTGGTTAAATATGAAATACCCTCCGCATTGGGCAGGAGCACCCAACGACGATTTCCTCATTTCCTCCTAAATGCATTGAAAACACTTTTTAGGCTACCAGAGTACTTTTAGATCCCTAGAAATGTATTCTAATTGCGCTAAAAATTTGTTATCTGTTCGGTCATCCTAGGGCAACGTGAGTCTTTTCGAAATTACAAGGGCTTCAACATTATTTTCCCGAAAATTTTTGCTGCAATTTTAAGTTTCACAAAAGTGAGAATTTTTCTGATTCCTCTCTGCATCGCGTTTTCAGTTTCGAAAATTTTAGGTTTCCTTTCTCTACGAAAAATAGCTTAACCTGGGGAGTGAAATGAAAAAAATTAAAGTTCAGAAAAACGTAGGGAATTTGTTAGATAAGCTTCGAAAATTGTACATGAATGGAACGGTCATCTAGAACTTTTTAGCCTTCCTCAACCTCTAGAAAGTTCTAGGCATTTTTTGCTCCTCCGAAGAGATATTCAACAGAAAATGGTCATTGGGTGCCCCTGATTAGACGGAAAAAAAATCGGCGAGCCCCCCTGCGCCGTTATTTCTCTTTTTCGACCCTGTTTTAGTGTTTTCCCAGACTGTAGAGCCTAATTTACAATAGTATTCTTGCATAAATCGGACACACCCTTCTCCCTAGGCGTTCTCTGCTCGGTCAATCCTGGACTCTACCGTGAGCTGTGACGTCACCGAGAGACAACGGGTGAAGAGAGAACGCCTAGGGACTAGGCTGAATCGGACACACCCTTTCAATCATCAAAAGCGGCCGACAATGTTTTCTGCCGTGCGAACTTGAATGACGGTACCGCTCGCCTTTTAGTCTTGTATCGACATTTTTCCTTTTAACTTGTTCACCTCGACAGAAACGCCACCGAAAAGGCTAAGAAATAACCTGAAATAACAAAAAGAAAAAAAAAACTAACCGGTGCCTTCGACGTAGGCGAGCTGAGAAACGCGTAAAACGTTAACAACGGTTACATATTACTTTTTGTTCGCCAGTCGACAAGTAATAAACTGTTTCGGTCGATCTGAATGTGCTAAAGCAAGGTATGTATAATAATTTGCTTTTCGATAATAAATCTTTGTAGTGAAAAGTTATTAATGTATTTTCAATCCATTTGACTGATTTACATGTTTTGTTTTTGGTAGAGGAATGATTTTTTTTTGTCCACATACAAAAAGGAAACATTAATATTATTAAACCTTGTTACATCATTTATTCTATCAAAACTTATACTTTTCGTAACGTTTAACACGCGCATTCTTTAGCGGCAATCACTTATCTGTTATTTTCTCGGAACACGCTTCGTTATTCTGGTTGTCTGAGGTTTTTTAACAAACTGACAAGAAAGGGGAAAACTTCGACAACGAGGGGAAACGTCCCAAGAGCCTGAAACTTTGGACGCCGTTTATTTAATCTTAGATATTTGGAAATTAAGATAAATAACGGGAACAGAATCGCAAACGGGAAAAAAAGAAATTGGTTTTTATAAGCATAACTGCAC